ATATATATATATATATACATACATACATACATATATATATATACATATATATATATACATACATACATACATACATACATACATACATACATACACACAATTGTGTGCATACCTTTGCCAGAAGCACCTCCCACAGACTCAACACTTTGGTCAAACGAGGAAGAACAATGTCCATCAGCTCCTCATCCTCACACTGCTCCACCAGCTGTGAACACATGGTCGTTATGGAAACAACAACAACACATCTGTTGGTCATTATATCACAAAGTCCACTTCTCCACTTCCTTCTCTCACCTCCTGCAGTCTGTCTCGTCTCCTCTCCACCTGCTGCTCGGCGGTAACCATGGCGATGGCGAGCTTCGGAGGTCGACCGCGACGGCCCCGCCTACTGACGAGCCCCCCCGTCACCTAAGAATCGACCAATGAGATGAACCGTTTATTTGCCCGAGTTCAAATGCGCCCGTTCATAACGGCTGCTGTACAGGTGCGACGCAGCGTCGGACTGTTGCACTGGATCTTCAATTGTTAAATTCAAATTATAAGTGTTTGTTCAATTAAAAATGGATTCATAAGTGAACTCACTTTAGGAGGCGGTCCCAGTGATCGTCCTCGTCCCCGTCCCCTGCCTCTCCCTCTCCCTCTCCCTCGGGGCCTGCCGGGGCCCCGGGGATTGAGGCCCCGGAGTCCTACAGATGGTGCTGGACCCCCCTCCACCTGAAGACAGTTAGGAAATAAACTAGTTAGTGAATTACTAGTCAGACAGATGCGAGTTACCTACTCAGTTAACCACATAGTAATAAACTAGTTAATAATAAACCAGAGGAATTAACCAGTCAATAATAGTGCTGAGCTCTGATTGGTCTCCTACTCTGTTTGATGCCGTGTCAACAGGTTCGTCCTCTGTCGTGGTCGTGGTCGTCGTCGTTGTGGTCGTCGTCGTGGTCGTCCTCCTCCTCTCCTCCTCCTCCTCCTCCTCCTCCTCCTCTGTGACACCTCCCGTTTTCGCCTCCTGTGATTGGCCGTCATCTCTGAGCGGGTGTGGTGCACTGTCGGGCAGATCGGCGGGCTCCCCGTGAGTCGGGTTTAGTTTGTAGTGCCGGTTCAGGCCTCCGAGACCAATGTAGGCCTTGTCGCAGGTCTGGCATCGGTGGGACCGGGACTTGTGGCTGTAGGTGAGAGAGACGCCGGGGGCAGGGCCATCTTTCCTGCCGCCATCCTCCTCCTCCACGCTCATGTCGGAGTAGTCGTCGGAGTCGGACTGGTGGCTGTCCGCCAGGTCTTCCGTCTTTATAAACTTGTAGTCTTTGGCTTTGTACTTCGGTGGTCTGGAGACTCGACCAGATCTGGTCTGGACCTTTGGCGCCCTCTTCTCTCTCTTCTTCGCCTTCTTCTCTTTCTCCCTGTCTCTGTTCTTCACCACTGGGGGCGGGGCCACAGCGGTGGGTCGGTTAGTAGCAGGTGTGGCGGTCTCTGCTGGTATGACCGCAGGTGGTTTACCTGGACTCTTACAGGCGACTGTCACTGTACCGTTAGCGGGGGTTTTAGGCGGGGTCTTGGTGATAGAGGGGGTCTGGACTCTGATGGGGGACATTGCAGGTTTCTGACTCGGGCTGCAAGTGGTGCATGCTGATGTTGTCTGGCCTGTGGTCTTGTGGACCAATGGGAGCAGAGACCCGATGACGGGGGCGGGGCTCTGCAGCAGCAGCTGGATGGGGGGGTCCCCTGGGTTCTGCTGCAGGAAGAACTGCTGACCCGGCTGACCAACCACAGGCTGGATGTGGATGATCTGAGCGCTGCTCACGCTGCCATTGGCCGACAGCTTCACCTGCTGATTGTTGACTGCTACACTCTTCTGCTGGAGGGCCGAGAAAGACTTCACTTCCTTTTTGGGGGGAACCTGGATCTGGATCCTGACGGGCTCCGACTGAAAGGACAGAAAACCAAAAACCAGATGATAACTCTGAAGGGATCGAACCTGTGACACACAGTTGCTTCACGTGGAAGACATCATGATCTCAGGATGATGATGATCATGCGACAGAGCTGAAAGCTCCAGGACAGCTCCTACATGGAGGTCGTGGTGAGGATGTTTAATCCATGAGTTTTTAATTGAATCTGTTCGAAATGTAAACATGATTGATACCAGAAAATAAAGATAAAATCTCTGTGATTCATGTGAAAGTGGTCCTTTAGTCTCTAGACCAAGTCCACACTAATCTGGATCAATCTTTAAACTGTTGTCACACTGGTTTCATGTGATTTCAAGAGTCTTGGATGAGATCAACGGTCTTATAGAACCCCTTAAAAAGGTTCTGCAAATAAAAGGACTCGTGTGAAACACCAGACACGACAATAAGATCATTTGTTCATTCATTGGGTAGACAGATTACAGGTGAGTCATTTACACCTTTTCAACATCTGTAAACGTCCAGCTGTCTTCCTGCTTCTATCGAATATATTTTCTCCTGATCTCAGATTAATCCTCGACCTCTTACGGGGTCCCGACCCTCAGGTTGGGGAACCACAAACAGAACCAGGACATGGTGAATCCACTACATTCCGGATGAACTGAACTGATCTTCTGAATTACCTTCTTCTGGACCACCTGCACCGAGCTTCCGGTGTGCTTGGCGACCTGCTGGGCGACACTCTTGAGCTGCTGGGAAGCGTTGTTCTGGCTGGTGGACTTTAAGTTCTGCTGGTTCAGACCGTGCTGGGGGACCTGGACCTGCTGCTGAGACTTGGTGACCTGTAGGGTGGAAAAAAAACTATTTAATGTTACCGAGTGAGTCCTATAACACTGAAATAAGGAACATTGAGAGAAGAAGTCCGTCTTTGTATTGTCTGTGCAGAGAAAGCTCTGTCGTCACACAGAATGCAGTCTGCAGGAGGACGAGATGAGAGTGGAGCCTCTCTACAGCTGATAAAGGACCTGAGCACAGGGTGGGGGTCAGGATGAGTTCACACTAAAACATCTGGTCAACAGGTTCTAACTGCCCATAGACACCTCCATTCAGCCCCTCTTATCTCACCTGAGCCTTGTCACACGAACACGTCTGTTTCTGACTAACCTGAACATTCTCTGGTTAACTGCACCCACATTCACCGACTTCCTCTCATGAAGCAAAGGCAGAAACACCCCATGTGGTCTTGTTATCATTCAGCTCGGTACACAATCATGTGTCACACATATGGTTCTGTTAGTGAGTGAGGCCCATAAGCTCAGTCACAGCAAGAAGGATTGTAGCTGACCCCTCTCACCCTGGACATGAACTGTTGGAGCCCCTTCCATCTGGCAGGAGGCTGAGGTCCATCAGGACCAAGGCCTCCATCAGGACCAAGACCTCCATCAGGACCAAGACCTCCATCAGGACCAAG